GTTCTTTGAAAGAAACGCAATATATATGATATCACCCTCAAAGCCCTCGGTAAACTAGAAAACCGGTCAAGAATGTCATTGATGTTGTCTGTCGATGTTGTTGCATGAACGTGCATCCTTTTTTCATCAATGCTCGTGGTGAAGTCTGTCTCTTGTGTTGGCCATTTTTCCCTATTTTCTTGTAGCCAAGAAGGTCGCAAAATCCAAACCACTGGTGTTTTGAGAACAAAAATGGAAAACAGAAATGGCTAACTCCAGGTGAATAAATATGTAAGTAGTGCGAATTTACACAAACAAAGTGAATATGTGAAAACAGAAACAGTGCCTTAATAACGAAATAAATGCGGAAAATTATTGTTAAATAAAAATGCGTAAATTAAAGTTGATTTGAACACAAAAAAAACGTGCGTAACAAAACATATGTACATACATAGGTATTGAGAAACATATGTACAGAAGTACCGGTGCAATATTTAGTTCACTTAAAGTTCTGTGTAAAAGTGCCTTATATATACAAATATGTACATATAGTGACGAGCAAAACTGTAACATGGTGTAACACTTTTTATTTCAGCCACCGCTATCTTTCCAACTTCTAACGACTTTCATACTTATATTCATACGTATATTCTTATTGGTACACCCCTACTCCCTCTCTAATAAAGATTTGAAGTCAATCCAACAACAATAATAAAACCAGCAGGCAAAAATGTAAATTAAGGCCAATGTTACAGTTTTGCACTCACTCTCAGTTTTGTATTTTACAGTTATCTTTTACTTAGTTGGAAGTCAGATGACTTTTTTCTGTATTGTAATTTATTCAAGAAGAGATTACCAGTAAATAATATGGTTAATCAGGAAACATAAATGTAAATAATATATCTACTGCGGAAACGCGGGACCGTAGGAAAAGTGGCAAAAAATTATGGAGCTCGCCACGTGAAAATATTAAGATTGAGAAAAAATATAGCCTAAAAGGTTATTAAAGACAAAGGAAGTCTGCCAAAAAATATTACGGTCCGATATCTTGTGAACTTAGTAGCAAGTAGCGCTGCAGCCACTATTACAGAAGCGCTTAAGGTATTAAAATTGAATGCAAATCATTAGACAGCGAGGGGAAAAATTGTCAAATTGAACGCAAAGTCATAATAAAAGAAGAAAAAGCCATTTTGATCAAAATACATGTGCGAGAGTGGTAGCATTTTGCCGGATCGCACGACAACCGGACCGTTGCCTTTTGGGATATGTTAGCCCTTACAGAATGCAATAACAAAACAAATTTTTAAGATTTAATTGAAGGTTAGTTGGTCTGACAAGACTAAATTAATCGCTTTCAATCAGGTGGCCAGGCATGGTATTGGATCAAAGACTCAAATTAAGCCTTAGCGAATCATGTAAGGCAAACCGCGAACCACAGTGATCGGTCAATAATAGTTTGGGGTTGTATTTCAAAAATATTGTTGGTCCCTTAGTACGCATTATGCGTAAAGAACAGTATCTGTTCATATTTCAACAAAACTTGCAAGATGTAGTCGAAAAATGAGAGTTTCTGCTGAAAAATCATCCAAAACATACTGCATATGTTCGCAACGACTGGATGCAAAAGCAAAAATTCGCTATTTTGAAATGACCTCCACAATCCGCGGATATGAATCTCGTCGAAAATTTGCGAAATCAACTAAAAGCGCAGCTTACTAAGTATGCAAGTCCGTCCAATGGAGTGCATGAGTTATGAAAGCAAACCAAGGATATATGGGAGGCTATACCTCCAGAATTTTTACAGAGATACAAATAAGGTATGCCAAATAGCATCCAGGAACTAAAAAAAGCAAAAGTATATTGAACATTGTGTTAACAATTCTTTTTTTGTGTGAAAGTTGTCAAAAAGTTATTAAAAATATATAAGTGCAAAACTGTAACATATGCCTTAATTTACATTTTTGTCTGCTGGTTTTATTATTGTTGTTGGATTGACTTCAAATCTTTATGAGAGACGGAGTAGGGGTGTACCAATAAGAATATACAACAAAAGTATGAAAGTCGTTAGAAGTTGTAAAGATAGCGGTGGCTGAAATTAAAAGAGTTACACCATGTTACAGTTTTGCTCGTCACTGTCCATATGCACCATGTTGTACTAGTTGCTCGCGTTAAGAGCGTGTCAGCCGCGGCAATATTTTTAACTTTTCGGTGCAAGTTGCTGTCAAATCGGGAAGGATAAAACTTATTTCTACATGCGAAGAAATAAACATTGCGAAGTGTGACTGCTGCTGAAAAGAGTGCAAATCGATTTCGAAAAGTATATTTCAACTTGCTCGTGTTTCCCTAGCAATTTTCACTTCAGCTGCAAGTTTCGTCAAATTAAACGAGTGTTGCCGCGTGATACTGATTGCAAATTGTGAGAAATAATAAAGGATAATTTGGAATAATTATCAAAAAAAAACTTTTTGGAAATAAACCTAATTTTAGCAGACACTACAAAATTTCCCACTGTGACAGTTTATCCGAAAAAAATATTGCACTACATCGTCTGACAACCCCTTTATACCTTCGTAGTTTCAGTACATGTATGCATATATGTACATACATACATACATATGTATGTATGAAATGCAGCTCAACGCATGAACGGCACATTCCATACTTTTGCCTTAGAGATGGTCAATGGAGCGTATGTTTGTGGGTTGACACAGTGTGTTGGTATCATTGTGTCATTGCTGCTGCGCTGCGCTATTGTACTGGGTTACCGATTGCTAATGTGTGTTATTTAAATGAAAGTACAAATGAAAGCAAAGATGTTGAGCTTGAAATGTCGAATGAAATTTAATACGTGTATATGTATGGCGGGTGAATGCGTTTGAAATTACATATGTGGATTTGCTTAAAGCTGTTTTTTTGTTAATGTTTATAAAGGAATGTGCAGCACAGGGCATGGATTAACGCATCGAAGGAAAAATAATGTGGCAAATGTAGCCAGGATGGCCGGCAATATGCGCTATCCACAATGCCCAGTGGAACGTGACTGCTTCTGGAGCAGATCCAGCCACCATGCGACCCAAGAAAAACAGATCGGCCGAGACGAAAGGAAAACGGGGTAAGTGCTTTACAATTAAAATGCTTCTTTGTTCTACTATTGTATTATTAATGTAAACCTGCCTACTTCTGTTCGCGGGCCGTTCCATGGTTACTGGTGTAATGTGATTTTGTGAAATAAATTTACATATGTAGATGGAAAAAATTAATGAAATTTAAACATTAAGCCGTACGTTACTTCTAATTCGGGATAGCTAGAATTGGTTTTAATTTCATGTTGTTTACGTCTTTGAATAGCAATATGTACAAATAGCGATTCTTCTCATTGGCAAGTTGTTTTCGCATACGAAAACGTTAACGACATGAAAAATTCCTAGCAAATTTCTACCAAATTTATTGTGTGTGTCTAAATGTAACTATCGTCTTAATGGTTCAATTTCATTAAGTATAAAGTTATAGGAGTTTGACATGTGGATTCCATTTGAGAGCCGATGGTTTTTATTCGAGTGTTGCTTTGTTGTAGGTGTAAATGTTTTTCTCGCATGGATTTATACAGACGCCATAGTTTCATCCTTATCCGTGGTATAGGGTGGTAGTAATACTAGTTTGACAAGCGGTCTTGTCACTTTGCCCTTTTCAGTTATGACGACTACAACCCTAACCCGATTGTCAGAACCTGGGTGCAAATTAGCCACCCTTCCTAATCTCCATTCGTTAGGTGGAAGATTATCCTCTCTATGACCACCATGTCTCCCACTTTTATGTTGGATTTAGGATGTTTCCACTTTATCCGTATCTGTAATTCTGTAAGGTACTCCGTTTTCCACCTCCTGCAGAAGTTTTGATGCAAGGCTTTGAGTTTCTGCCAACGATTGACGATCGAGGCTGGGTTTTCGTTCACATTTAGTTCTGGTGGAGCCAAGATGTGTCCGCCTACCAAAAAATTACCTGGAGTTAAGGGCTCAAGGTCAGATGGTTCATTGGAAGCTGGGCTCAGCGAACGTGAGTTGAGACACGACTCAACTCGGCATAGTAGAGTGTTGAATTCCTCAAATGTGTACTTCATATTAGACGCGATCTTCTTAAAGTGGCTTTTANTTTAATTTCATGTTGTTTACGTCTTTGAATAGCAATATGTACAAATAGCGATTCTTCTCATTGGCAAGTTGTTTTCGCATACGAAAACGTTAACGACATGAAAAATTCCTAGCAAATTTCTACCAAATTTATTGTGTGTGTCTAAATGTAACTATCGTCTTAATGGTTCAATTTCATTAAGTATAAAGTTATAGGAGTTTGACATGTGGATTCCATTTGAGAGCCGATGGTTTTTATTCGAGTGTTGCTTTGTTGTAGGTGTAAATGTTTTTCTCGCATGGATTTATACAGACGCCATAGTTTCATCCTTATCCGTGGTATAGGGTGGTAGTAATACTAGTTTGACAAGCGGTCTTGTCACTTTGCCCTTTTCAGTTATGACGACTACAACCCTAACCCGATTGTCAGAACCTGGGTGCAAATTAGCCACCCTTCCTAATCTCCATTCGTTAGGTGGAAGATTATCCTCTCTATGACCACCATGTCTCCCACTTTTATGTTGGATTTAGGATGTTTCCACTTTATCCGTATCTGTAATTCTGTAAGGTACTCCGTTTTCCACCTCCTGCAGAAGTTTTGATGCAAGGCTTTGAGTTTCTGCCAACGATTGACGATCGAGGCTGGGTTTTCGTTCACATTTAGTTCTGGTGGAGCCAAGATGTGTCCGCCTACCAAAAAATTACCTGGAGTTAAGGGCTCAAGGTCAGATGGTTCATTGGAAGCTGGGCTCAGCGAACGTGAGTTGAGACACGACTCAACTCGGCATAGTAGAGTGTTGAATTCCTCAAATGTGTACTTCATATTAGACGCGATCTTCTTAAAGTGGCTTTTAAAGCTTTTCACGCCTGCCTCCCACAGACCACCCATGTGCGGAGCTGCGGTAGGTATGAAATGCCAAGTCAATGCCTGATGGGCATATTTTGATAACGTATTCGTCCACGCTTCGGATAGAAATGCCCTTAGTTCCGCTTTTAAAGCCCGTGATGCTCCTACAAAGTTTGTCCCATTATCTGAGTACACATTTTTTGGACCCCCTCGTCTGGAAACGAATCTGGAAAATGGATTTTGCGTTACTCGCGCCGTTTTTTTTACGTTTCCTTTATGTTTTATTGCCGATTCACACAAATATTTCACCGGTACCGCACAACCGCACTTGTAGTAAACAAACATATGTGTGTAATGACAGGCGGCCATTCACGGAAGTAGGTTGTACTATCGATAACATCAGAAATAAGTTCGATACTTTACAGAGTTACCTTGAGAAGTATTTATACTTGGGCTGCACTTGCAAGTTTCTGTACCCAGCCTGCGTAAAATTTTGCGCAAATTAGCTTGCATTGCATTAGTTTGCATTGGTGTGATTGCAGTAATGGAAATTATGTGTGCCTTTTTTCATATAGAGGGGGTGGGTAGTAATAAATAATACATAATTATTTATTATTATCTTTTTTTCAATTGAATAAGTTTTTCATTGGTGCAATTTAATGCGAGCACAGAGAGTGACGACAAAAATATGACAATTGCTACGTATTAATTTGTTTCCACCACATTTTTCGTGCAATCTCCATGTCAGGTAAGAAACCCACATACCTCTTGCAACCCTGTTGTACTTACCCATCAACCATAAAGGCATGCATGAACGGTCAAACGACCTATCAATCATTAAGGGGTCATAATACTGTGCACTTTTAGTCAGAGTTAGCGAAATGACGAAAAAATCCTATATGCTCCATTTTGTTTTCCATATTGCTCGCCATTCCAAAATCGATCATTTTTGTCTGTTCGCTACATACAAAATTATTTCAGAAGATGACTCGCTTCACTAATGTACGCAAACAAGCTGAGGCAAATAATTACCCGCTGACGTGCAGATCATGCAGCAAAAAGCATCAATTAAGAGTATGCCCAATATTTCGTGCTAAAAGACCAANGAGGCAAATAATTACCCGCTGACGTGCAGATCATGCAGCAAAAAGCATCAATTAAGAGTATGCCCAATATTTCGTGCCAAAAGACCAGAAGAACGCCTGCGTGACGTTCTGATCCATCGCTATTGCACGAATTGTTTATCGGGGATACATCGTGCAGCACACTGCACTAACCCAGGGAGATGTCGACGCTGTAACGAAGAACACCACACCATGCTCCATATTGACAACGTGAGCGATGGATGAAGACGTCAGCGACGACCAAGGAGGCCAATAAATGACATTGACAGTGATGATGCGCTTTCACTAGATGCGTCTGAGGTCGGAGCGGAATCAAATGCTTTCCGCCCAGACCTGGAGGAGGAAGAAATGCCAGTCGCTGGAGCGGAAACTAGCGCTTTCCGCCCAGATGAATCCACCGGAATGGAGTCAAACGCACTCCATCCGAATTCGGCTGAGGAAGTGGAACTGTAACCCCAGTATTACGGGCAGCTCTTGAGGTATGAGCCAAGAGAGGTAAGCGGATTGGAAACGAGAACTTTCCAACCGCGAAATACTTGGCACCATACTCAAACATGACGTTTCAACCACCGCCCAAGGCGTCAGCGTCACAACGGGAGAGTGGAATCCCATGCATTCCACCTCCCTGCAAGAAGTGGTTTTCGGTCTGGGCAAGTGCAGGCCCCTATGAATCCGCTTCAACAACTTACCGCAGTTGCGCCAACAGCCATAGTGAGGGTAGAAGCAGGAGGCCGCTTGCACCTGGTAAGAGCGTTGATTAACCCGTGTGCCGCAACATCCATTGCCGCAGAAGACCTCGCGCGAGAGCTGAAGCTCAGTTTAATGGCAGTCGGTAATCAAAGAGGGCGTTTTATGAAGATACGCGGCAAACACGAAAATTCCCCGACAATCACCTTGCACGCGGTAGCCGTACGGAACTATCGGCAACAAACGCAGTTAAAAAGCCTCGATGCCACGGTCGCAGCACCATACAACAACATAAAGCTCGCCGATCCTCACTTTCACATCGCAGCTCCCGTCCGCTTAGTGCTAGGTGCCGAAGTTTTCCCGAAGATGTTGTTAGGTGCCATTCCAGCGGGAACTCTCGGTCCGCTACTAGCGCAAAACACCATTTTCGGGTGGGTGCTGTCAGGCGCATGTTAAAAACGTTTTTTCTTAAGCTTTATTTTCGTAGTTAAGTTTATTTTTGTTAATAATGAATCACATACATAAACCCTGAATTGTTTTCGTATTTTTATTGAATAAAAGTGCAGATGAAGTTTTGAAACCCACGTCTTTAAATAACTCTTTCTACTATTTTACAGAATTTAGGTACACGGACAGAGGCAACGAAGAACATTTAGTTTATTAGATAAATTTCTTAAAATTAAGTAGCTAATTGAAACATAGTGGCCGGAACACGTGGAATTCAGATTTTTTGCTCGCAAAGGGGGCCGGCATGTTTAGGCCAACGGCCTAAATTTGTCGCAGCCTTTTCGACCCACCCTAATGCTTAACATAACTTCATTATTATGTCAACTGTCGAACTGTTTACTAGTATGTTACTTATGCTTAAATGTCCCTTCGGTAAATAAACAGTTCGACAGGCAACAGTAATAAGAAATTTAAACCGGTCACTTACTTGTTTTCCGAGCGTGAATCCAAGAGGACGTTTTCCTGCCACCGTGTTCCAAGTCAAATAAAAGGTAACCTGTACAACCAAAATATATCCATACATATATTAATACAATTATCTATAATTTTGAATAAACACCAATTTATATTTGATACTGATACAAACGTTTTGCTTTGGTTTTCATTTCAATAAATTAATCGGCCACAACTTTGCTCAAGCGTTGTGCCGGTTTAACACGTGCGATAAATGGTACAACAAAATGCATGCCATGGCCTCAAAACAACCATTAGATAGATATAAAATCGAGAACAACCTTCTATATTATCGATTGAAATTTTCCAATCAAAGTGCGGAAATACTTGTGTACCATCTGCTGACAGAGCAAAAGTCCTCGATGAAAATCATAACCAACATTCCCATCAGGGTGTCTGGAAAACTTATAGACGTATCTCACAACGCGATTACTGGCCAAACATGTATGAGTAATGTGACCAACTATTTCATAGCTCAAAGAAGTACAGGTTAGGTTGGGTTAAGTAAACGCCGCGAGCCGATTACGAAATTTCGAATGCGGCTAATTTTGATCCCTGCGAGTTCAGTGTTTGTTCAGAAGCGCGAGCCAAAATGCTTCCATATTAGCCTCGCGAAGGTTGGACAGTCTAAAAGAAAGTGTGGAAATGATTCCACTTCATATTCCTCTTGACAGCTGATACAAAAGGATCAGCCGAAATTCCTAGTGTCACCGCATGAATACCAATCGCACAATGGCATATCAGAACCCCCATCACTAGCCCTTGAGAGGTAAGGTATGCAGAGAGACGTCTCGTTTTCCTTTTTATGTCAAAAAAGGTCCCGGTTTCCCTTAGCCTAATAGCAGTTCGCGCTGCGACAATTACGTCTGCAATATCCGCCGGCGCCATGTTCAACACACGTATGTTAAGCGCCAGTGTAGGTGTGGCTCCTAATGCTCCGCTAATTCCTGTTTTAAAATTGTAGCCTTTTCTAGTAAGTTCCACTAGACAAGGGCTCCTTGAAACAATATAGGCTTAAATCTGGTTTCCTAGAGCTAATGAATTAATTTGGGTGAGAGACCCCACCTTTTACTGATAGCCCCCTTTAGCAGTACAAGGCAACCGACACCTTTCCTACCCTTTCCTCAATGTTAGGTTTCTACGACAGCCGTCATTTATCGCCCACCTAGTTCAGGTAACCTTGAGCCAGATCAAAAACGGTGTATATAAATCGTCCCTTAACCAAAAGTTCCACATCATCTACAAAGGCGATCACTCGACAGCCCACTTTTTCCAGTTCCACTAGAAGGTCGTGTACAACCGCAATCCAGAGCAGGGTAGAGAGAACACCACTTTGTGGAGTGCTCCTATTGACTCTGCTGAGTGCAGACGCTCCCCCACTACGCCGCGACAGCTCTGTCACGAAGTAAGCTTATTAGGTTAGTTCCAACCCCCAGATTATGAATATACTTGACTAGGCCCCCTCGATATCGAAGAAGGCTCCAACTGCATAATCTTTATGCGTGAAGGCTTCCTCTGACCGCTTTACCAATGTGTGCAGGGCGGTATTCACCGTCCTTTTCTTGCAATAAGCATATTGAGCTCTTGACTGACAGTGACGAGGAATCGCGTTTCTTATGTTCAGATGTAGATAGGCCTAAAATCCCTAGGGGAAACATGAGAGCCTTTTCCAGCCTTCGGGATGAACGCAATACTGATTACCCTTCAAGCCATGGGGATGTACCCGGTCCTCACGCAGTTCGCATATATAGGATCCAACCAATTGCACGCGACCTTCAGAGCCCTTTGCAGCTGCGCAGGTATGATGCCATCGATCCCAGACGACTTGAATGGTTTGGACAGGACCTGGGGGAGATTCTGTAATCAGTTAGAGACAATTTTCGAATCGCTATCGCACTTTTGGACGCAAAAACATTTATATCATGCGTAATTAGGTGCGATAGCGATCCGAAAATTGTCGCTAACTGGTTACAGAATCTCCCTCCAGAAGTACAAAATATCGAAAAGAAGTACATTTGACTGTACTTCGAAGTACGAAGTACAAGAGCGAAAAAAGAAGTACTGTACTTCCGAAAGAAGTACGGTTGGTCAGATTATGTATGAGTCCGTTTACCAGTACGTTAGGCAATGTGGACTATGCCACCGCATTAAACCAAGTAATGAGAGCACCAAAACACCTCACGGCGAATATAGAGAACCAAAACGACCGGGTAGGCAATTATCGATTGACTTCGTCGGTAAGCTGCCCATGTCTAAAAATCGTAACCAATGGATCTTCGTAGCCATCGACTGTTACTCGCGATATGTCTGGGCGCTAGAGTTGTCAAACTATCGATAGTATCGATAGTTTAAATTTTTTTAGACTATCAATACTCGTTGATAGTTTTTTCTTATACTATCGAAAATATCGATAGTTTAGTAGGACTATCGAACATCTCTACCAATTATTTTGAAATTATTTAAATTTTCTCATTTTAATTAAAAATTTTGTTTTTTAGTGTGATGCCGACGTCATATTCAAATATGCACGCATTTAGGCCAAAATATATACATATGTTAATCGTAAATCCTGTTTTGTTTGTATAACTTGTGTTTGTTTTTGAACTTTCTAAAAAGAGAAGTATTTTGGCTAAGCATTTACTTAATTTTGAATGATTATAACTTTTATAAAATAATATTTATTTCACTATGATCCTGTAAAACAAAGCAACCTAACTGATTTAGCGCTATCGATAG